TGGCCTTAAGTGAAGGTAAGTTTAAGATTTTCAAAACCCTTTTATCTTAAACTAGGCCTAGCTTAAGGATTATTTAGGAATATTTTATACTGGAATATAGTTTAATTATTTAAACTAGAATTCATTTAAGGGTTGACAAATATTAAAGTGATTTGCCTTAGACTAAGTATAGTATAAGGATATGGTTGAATATTGAATATGAATAAATATTGAATTTAATATTGTGGTTATTATGAATGACGGATAAAATGTGAAAATAATATAATGTTGAATATTGACTTATGATTATTGAGTACCTGAACTGAACATTATGTGCATGATATCAAATGGGTTTGATTATGAATTTAGATTCAGTTTATATGGATGTTCGACGCATTAGATATGCTTACTCAGCTTAAACGCTGAGCGTGTAGTATGTTTTATTTGCTACACGCATGTAAACAAAATGAATGAAGAAATGATTTCCTGGAGGCAGATGGGACGAGAAGGTCGGACGGATGTGTGTTTTGCATTTAAATTACTGTTGAAAAGACATAAATTAAGTATGTTTGTATTATGTTTTATTAAGCTTCCGCAACATTAAATTACTCCGTTACTATTTTGAATTATTTATTAATAAAGATTTAAATATTTGAAATATTTTGAATGTTTACGAATACCAAGTTTATACTTTAGTCCTAAAAGGGCTGCAGACCTGGACGGATTAGGGTGTTACAAAGGTAGACAGGTTTCGATATCTTGGCTCGGTAATCCAGGCTGATGGGGAGTTAGATGCGGATGTTAGACATCGTGTTGGAGTGGCTTGGGCCAAATGGCTGTTAGCTTCAGGGGTGTTGTGTGATCCGAAGATTTCGCCTAGAATGAAAGGTAATTTTTATCGATCCGTAGTCAGACCTGCTATGTTATATGGGGCAGAGTGTTGGGCGGTTAAGAAGACTCATGTGCGTCATCTGCATGCGGCGGAGATGCGGATGTTACGATGGATATGTGGGAAGACAAGGTTGGATAGGATTTCGAACGAAGTTATCCGACGTCAGGTAGGCATGGCACCGGTGGAAGATAAGTTGTGGGAAGCGAGGTTGAGATGGTTTGGCCATGTGAGACGGCGGGATGCTGACGCCCCTGTACGGAGATGCGAGAGGATTACGGTTAGAATTATCGGGGGGAAGTAGGGGAAGGGGTAGACCTAGGAAGAATTGGAAGGAGGTGATTAGGCAGGATTTAGGACTTCTCGACCTGACTGAGGATATGGCCCTAGATAGGAACCTTTGGAAAACTAGGATTAGAGTAGCTGGATCGGAGCTCGGTGTTGTAGAGTTTGTTTTGTATTGTGTTGTATTTGTTTGGAATCTTCTGCTATTGCTTGTACGTGTTGCTTGTACTTGGTACTTTATCTGTGTTATACTGTGTTCCCTTCCATATTTTTGTGCAGGTGGAGCCGGGGGTCTCTTGGAAACAGCCTCCCTACTTCCGAGTAGGGGCAAGGTCTGCCTACACACACCCTCCCCAGACCCTACTGTTGTGGGATTCACCTGGGTTGTTGTTGTTGACTATGTTGAATTGATATTTATGATGAAATAAAGTTTTTAAATATTTGAAATATTTTAAACTTTTACGTTACCAAGTAAATACTTTATTCTAAAAAGGACCGCATATCTGGACAGATTAAGGTGTTACATACATAATACTCCGTACTTCGTAATATTCATGTTGCAAAATTATTATAAGTAAATAAAGTATAAAAATAAAAGAAATCCAATAATCAAAATTATTTTTTAAAGTATTTTTGTGAAGAATGAAAATTTAAAAATGTAGAAACTCCGTGTTAAGGACCGAACCAGACTTGGACAGGTCCTAAGGAGACTACCTGGTCCTAGAAAGTCCTTATTTTTGTATAAACACCGGATTAGTCTAGAATGATCTCGTCCTAAATAGTAGCGGTCTTTTCAAGAGACCGACCCAATCACACTAGTCTGGTCTTTTTGCTCATCTCTAACACAAACATAGTTGTTCTTCAGTGGTAGGCTTAGTTTTGTTAATTGTCTAGTCACTCCTTCCTTTCCAGTTTGTCCAAGTAATATACTATACGGGTTGTTCAAAACACTGCTCAACCTTATTAAAAAAGAAATCTACCTGCATCATATCAATTGTTTGTTGCTTTTGGAATCTAGAGAAGTGCTGTGGTTTTTGCTTCTTCCTCGAAAAAAAGTCTCTTTGCTAATGGGGTTTAGTTTCAAAGGTTGTGTGAACGAGCCGGTGTCTGCCTCTAAAGAAGAAGACAAAACTCATAAGAAAGAAATTGAATCGAATTTACAATATCTAGATCCCAATTTGGTGGTGCTGGAACTTGTGACTCTTGAACTAGTCGTTGTAACATGAGAAAGACAAATTAAGACTAGATCGAGTTTGTAAATTAAGATAGCCCCCTAGTTTTGGAGCTGTTGCAAGTTGTCAATGATTTTTTGTGAATAAGTCATAGTGATATTGGGAACAATTGTAGTGTCTGTGAACCACAAATGATCAAAATAGTTCCACAAAGATTACTAGAGAGAAAAAACAAAAAATAATGTCATTTAAAAATATCTCAAGTAAGGATCCGTTTGGTATAAGAAATTGGTGGAATTGGAATTGAATTGGAATTGAAATTCCATGGGATTCAATTCCATAGAATTGAATTCTGTCAATTTCAATTCATTTTTTGCACTATCAATTCCAAATCCACATAATTTTTGTGCTACCAAACACCAGAATTGGAATTGAAATCTTCAATTCCAATTCCATAGTTTGAATTTCATGTACCAAACGGGACCTAAGAGTATATTTTGAGTGGTTATTGATGTCATCCATTTATTAAATGGAAAGGGGGTGTTAGGAGCTTACTAGGCTCAAGCTCTGTTTGTGAAGCCAAACCCCCATTTGGGATAGTCATATACACATTATGTGTATAAAGAAATTGCAAACACTTAAAACACCAAACTAAGGGCTTGTTTGTTTTTTGGGTATTACTTTCAACTTTCTATCTTCTACTCCATCCCACTTACATCTTACCTTTTTTACCCTCCCAAAATAAAATTCATCCCGTATTAATACTGAAATATGTGAAGAAACAACTTTGCTCGTCTAAATAAAAATTTCTACCATCTATTTTTCCACACTTTTTAAAACTCCAAATCAAATAATGAAATTTAACTTAAAATAAATGGAGTGTTTCACCATAAACCAAGGACAAAACTATGAGAGCCAGTAAAAAGTAATTTTCAAATTTCAATTTTCTGATGACAGTTTCCCCCATGAAAATAATTCTCTAATTTCTACTCAGTAAAAGGCAATTCTACTTTGCTCACAAATGTGCCCCTAACACCTTTTTTCTCTCCCCACAAACAGTGTGTGAGAAATAAAGACTAGTGGCCAACCTTGAGACTAAATAGCTTTAAAATCACAAAAGCAAAGGCTGAAAATGGATAGTAATGTTATACTCCCTCCGTCCCCCAAAGATCTTCTCAATAGTCCTTTTTCTATGTCCACAATAGATCTTCTCATTTCATTTTTTAACAATTAAAATACCACAACTACCCCCACTTACTTTATTTATTACACTTCACCCACCTCATTTAATACACTCCACTCATTTTCATTAAGGGTACTATGGTAAACTTTCAACTCTTTTCAACTATCTTTAAAAACCACCAAAAGTCAAAATGAAAACATCTTAGGGGGAAGGAGGGAGTAACTTGTAACCATGTCTTAGCATAAAAAGAGATTTATCATTATTATTACTTAGTAATACCATAAAAGGGAGAGAATCACACTTCAACATGAAAATTGGGAATTATTCCACCAAAATCAGTGACCTCTCAAGCGCTACGTACGCAAAAACAAAATATCCTCGAGAAACATGAGGGGAATACATTGCTTTCACACCTCTTTAAAAATAAGTTATTCAAATTGAGCATTGTCTCATCGAGCTTTAAAAGATTATGAAAATATAAAACTCACAAGGCATTTTTCATCACCATCTTATAATAACTACCAACGAAAAGAAATTTAAGCCCCACCAGAACCATACTTCTTTCCAAAAACAATCACCTGAAGCTTATCGTACCCTGCCAACACACCAGCACCAGCAACAGCACGGAGGATGTTTGCACCAGCACCCTTGAAGAGGGATTTGGGACCCTCATTCTTGAGAATCTGAGAGAAGGCATCAAGAGAGCTTTTGTACTTGACTGCTTCACCAGATGTCATCATCATCCTTCTACGGACAGTATCAATTGGGTAAGAAGCAAGGCCAGCACCATTTGTAATCAGCCAGCCAAGAGCAAAGCTAGCAAAGAAACTATCCTGATAAGATCAAAATTAGGAGTTAGGATCTGAAGGGAAATCATGTTTTACAATTTAAAAAAAATGTGAATATATAAAATAGACAAGAACAGACCTCCAAACTTCCGGTTAAGACAACTGGCTTTATGGAGTCATACAGGCCAAAGTAAAGCCCCCGATAGACAATGATACCAACACATGAAATATTGAAGCCACGGTAAAGACCAGCGATGCCATCAGAAGCAAAAGTCTTCTTATAAACATCAACCAAACCATTGAATTGCCTTTCACCTCCCTTCTTTGCAGCCTTGGCATCATTAGCCAGCCGAGTACGAGCATAATCCAATGAATAGACAAATAATAAAGATGAAGCACCAGCAGCACCACCAGAGGCAAGGTTTCCTGCAAACCATTTCCAGTAGCCATCTTTGTCCTTCTTGAAATTGAAGAGTCTCTTGAAGTAGTCCTTGAAAGCAAAATTCAATGCCTACAACACACATAAGCATAATATTTATTGCCCATTAACATAGATCGTTGCACATTTAGAGAAAATAATAAGTATGCTAACCTGAGTGGGGAAGTAGCGAATGACATTAGCCGTGTTCCCTCTCCATAATGACATAATCCCTTCATCCTTAACTGTACGGCCAAAACAATCTCCAATTCCCTTGTATGGTTCGGAGAGTCTTCCAGCCTTAATCATCTCGTCTTGATTTTGAATCAAAAGTTTTACACGCTCAATAGGAGCAGCTGCAGTCTTGGAAACTGCGGCAGAAACTCCACCCATGAGAAAGTCAACAGCAAAACCTGCAAATCCTTTCTCTGATGGAGCCTGAACAAACACTGGTGAAACATTTGCAGTTAACAGTGACAGATCCTTATTGCCCTTGCCAGAGAGCAGCCCTGCATTGCAGTAGTTCCCAAAAGCAGGGCTCTTGTGATACCCAACTGGTGTTTGCCATTTCCCATTGAAAGCTCCAGCATCTTTTGAAGACCTTGAATCTAAATGTAGCTGTAACCCAATCTTCTGGGAGAAAGTGGGGTGCCGGTGATCATTGGCCATTGTGTACAATCACACTCCTGAGAAACAACATGTTTAAACTATTCAAAACACTAACATGTTGAATACTTCAATTAGAACTTATAGCCAATAAAGAACACTAAAATTCCAGGGTTCAATATATGTCACCCAAAAAAGTAATGGCATTCTATCTTGTGAGTCATAAAAAGCAAGATGAAACTACTCTTTCACAAGGTTTGCACAGTAGTTGAGAGCAAAATGATACAATTCAAATTTCATTACCTGTATTAATTTCAATTTACTTCCAATAGTTTTGTGTACTTCCCTTTTGATGAACACAACCCCCCACAGGTACCATTTAAAATTATTTAGCAAAGTACCATTAAACATAGTGTTGAACATTTATTAACTGTAAGTCTGTAACAAAACAAGTAGCATCACAGATATCTTTGGATTATCTGATTTCAATTTAAGGGCAACAAAATAGATTAAATAAAATCTCATAGAAAATTCGGACAATGTCAAAATATTTCAAAAAATAAAAAACATAAAAAATGCAAGATATTTAAGAAACTGTCTGTGAACCATTATTTGTAATCTCTTTTACAGGAGTAATCCTGAAAAACTTACAAAACATAGTTTTGTTTTTCCACAGAATAATATCCAATATCTATATTCGCAACAAAATATACAAAGATGTTTCCATTATCAAAAAGTGCAGATATGTTAACAGATAACAACGTTTTCAAAATTTTTAACCTTGATACACACTGGTCAGCGCAACCCTCATAAACGTTCACAGACAGAGATATTTGCATTTGGACATAGAAAGCTTATAAAATCATCATCTCAAACTTAATGTATACGTACGAAAGTGGCCAAGGTGTATTATAACTTAAATATGCAGGGCCAGGCCACAATGAAATTGAAATCACCAAGATTAGCACTTCAATCTCATTTCTAAACAGATCTGTAAGCAACCCGAGAAAGATCCGAGATCTCGGGCGAATACGCAAACTATATAATTTGATTAATCGAATCTCGTAAAAGTTTTTTTTAACAAAAATCAAAACCTGCAAAAGCTCAGATAATTAGAGTGACAACGAACAGATACAGTGCTCTAATAAGTTCAAATTGTCAAACGAAAAGACAGAAACTAAAAGATGAAGCGATATCGAATCTCATTTGATGAAACGATAAAGCGAGCTGTGAGTGGGAGAGAGTTACCTGCGCTATATGAACACAGAGTGGTGGCGGAGAGATGAACAAGGAGCGCTCACGTAAACGGATGGTAATTTATACTCCGTAGTGATGTAGTTAGGTTTCGGGCTCGATACATTTTACACCATCAAAAAAGTAGGAAATCATTAAAATACACCTCAATAATAAAACAATGTCAAATATACCCTCAGAGGTTTAACTTTTTATTATTTGCATCTTCCGCAAAAATTTTTAACATACAAACAAATAAACTCCAAATAGCCTTCAAAAAAAATAATAATAAACTCCAAATATATATATATATATATATATATATTGAAATTTTCTTCCTACTTTTTTATTTTTGGAAATTGTTTTTGAGTATATAAAATTCCTTTTTTGAAATATCTTTGTTTGACTTTATATAAAATAAAATTACTCTAAAAAGGAGTAAAATATAGAAAAAATATCAAACTAGGAGTTCTATGTTTTTATTCTCTAAATAGGAGATCGCACTATGGTAATGTGATACTATATTCCGTATATGGGCATTTTACTATATTTTTTGATAATATACATGGTCATTATTGGTAATGTATATGAATTTTAACTCTTATTTGATAATATTTTCCCAAATAATTTCTTAAATCCATATTTGACCAAAATTACATGCTTGAAAATCTAATTTTTGAAGATAAATGTTGGTCCAATTTCTCTAATTCGCAACAAAACTTAATTACAAAAATACATTTTAATTTGTTTTAATAAATTTATAAGTAATAATTCTCAAACACTGCCCAAAATTACGAGTGAATTTCACAGGAAGTGCTTGAACTTTGGCTAATCATTCAAATTAGTACATTAACTTCAAATCCTATCAAAAAAATCTTCAATTTCACCAAATATTTCAACAAAAATACATTAGCGGCTTTTCAAAGTCTAGCCGGTCATTTTGCTAACATAGGGTTGATTTCGCATCAACTTCACCATTTTTTTTCTTTCCTTTTTTCTTTCATGTTCCTCCTCACACACCTCTGCCGCTACCCAACCCGTGTAACCTAAACCAATGAGTTGGCAAATCGGAATGCTACTAATTTGGTACTCACATGCACAACATTTTTAAAATTTTTAAAATAAAGTATCCATTCATATTTATTTAAAAGCAAATTATAAATTAATCAAAGTAAAATAAATTCAATGTTGCAGAAACCTTTAGAAACAACATCCAAAACAACTTGATACTTTGAATAATAAGTGAATAAGATATTTAAATTAATAAATGAAAGTTCTTCAGTCATCCACCAGTGTCATGTATCACTGTCCCCCAGGATTCTCGTTCAATCTTTGATCCCTACCTGATGAGCTAAGTGAGTAATATCTAATGCTAGAACTAATTTATAGATTAGCATACACTAACATACAGTGAGACAATATCAGAATAAACAACAAATATTATTATTGAACATCAAAATCAATTTTTCATTTATTTGAGTATAGATCTTAGTTGCTCTTACTACACTTAATCAACTAGGTTAAGATTCACTCACATTAGACTAGAGTCATGGACATTTTAGGCAGTGCAACCACATAAAACTTCTCTAAGACAGGTTGGAGCCCCTATCAGGTACTACTAGACAGGTCCTTGTGCAATTCCCTGATTTGAAATGAATGATTGGGAAAAGAAATTGCTCAAAAGGATTGATAGTAATACTCATACTAATAAGGTGCATCTTTTTTTCTAGAGATCATCACTTAGAAACTCCAAAGTTAAGCGTTCCCGACTTAAAGCATTTTTATGATGGGTGACCCCTCTGGGAAATTTCTTGGGAGCACATGAGTGAGGACAAAGTTTGCGGGAAAGACTTGTGTTGGTTTGTGAGGCCAGCCTACAATCCTATGAACGGATACTTACGGCAAGGGTGGTGGTCGGGGTGTTACAAATGGTATCAGAGCAACTTCGGGATCGTGACGGGCCAACGAGCTTAGTTCACATAGCAGGGAAGATCTAGGGGTTTGAAAATGAAGATGCAACGAGGACGTTGCATTCTTAAGTGGGGATGAATGTAAAACCCTGATTTGAAATGAATGCTTGGGGAAAGAAACGGATCAAAATGATTGATAATACTACTCATACATGTTGGACATGAGTTCAAACCCCTTTGAATATTTTGTAATATTATTTTCAGGTTTTGATAAATGACAAACGGAACGATGAAATCGAAATGACGATCAAAAATTTATTTTTCGTATCGATAAAGCAAAGAGGCGTATCAAGAAATTTACAACGTTCTATTTCAACGCTCACCCCTACGCAAAGTTTTTTTCAAGTGAAGTGAAAATTCCGAAGACTTTTTATTTTACTTGAATCTAGGAATAAACTGTAAGGATGACATATACTTTTGCTTAAACAAATTACTTTTTGAGGGATAAAATCATTAATTTTTGAGTCACTTGTCTGTCTAAAAATAACTTATTGACCCAGTTACAAAAAGGTGTGTCAAAATTTCTTTAAAGTAATTTTTTAGTTACACAAATTTTTTTGCTAAGGAAAATAAACATTAAATATTTTCCGTGTACATCGTTTGACACACAAAATGCTTTTGGGACTCAATTTATACACCAAATATTTACCTTAATAATTCAAATTCAATTTGAATTATTCTTATTTGATTATGGAGCCTCTTGCCTATTCCCTTTGTTGAAAACAAGGCATTTATGCCAAAATCTTCTTCTCATCTCGCAACTGGCTTGGACCTTTCATGTTTGCGCATAATTCTTATGTTAATCGATTAATCCTTCTTCTTTAATCTATTAATTTTTCGTACCCGTTGGAGGTTTGTCCAGCACAACACGATAATCGATTAATGCATAATGAATTAATCAATTAGCCCTTTCCTCCGCTAAAGGAATTTAAGTCAAAAGGTCCTAATCAATTTTTCTAACTCATATTAATCGATTATTTTTGTCTGGTGCGTTTCTCAACTCTTCTCCTTTGGCTCTAATGGATTTATTTTTCTAAACCCTATAAAATCCCTCATTTTCCTTCATTCAACACACAACTCTTGCACTCTATATATTCTTTCCTTATCCTATATACAATTCTTGCTTCAATTCTCTTCATCAAGATATTATTTTTGAGAGTTTAACATATTCTTATTGAGTGCAAGAGATATTGCCATCCATAGAACTTTCATTTTAAACACTACTTGTTCAATTGTGTGAGCTTTCATTGTTGTGTTGTAAAACTCAATATTATTTGAGTTTAGTTGTTGCTAAGACTTGTGTGATTTAAGTCTTGTTGTAAGAAGCTGAGGCTTGTGTGACTCAAACTCTCGAGTTGTAACCAGTTTTTCAAGCACCCGTTGAAGCTTGAAGTATAGTACGGACATTGAGAGAGTCTTTCTAAGGACTGGACTAGCCACAAGGTGGTGAACCAGTATATATCGCGGTGTTCTTCTTTCCCTTACTCTTTACATATTACCTGTGATTTTTATTTCGTTTATACACACACGCAAAAAACGCTTATTCTAGAAAATAACTCTATTTACCCCCCTCTAGTGTTGCACATTTTGTCTAACAATTAGAATCAGTGCAGGAAGTTCTTCGAATACATCTTATTTTTCAGGAACTCAAAAGATCAAATGACTTCTAGAATATTCAACGCAGGAGTTAACAAGGGACAATCAACCACAAGGCCACCATTGTTTGATGGAACAAACTACTCTTACTGGAAGGAAAAGATGAGAATTTTCATCCAATCCAACGACTACAAGTTGTGGTTGATTGTTAACAACGGATGCAAGGTTCCTATGAAGAAAGTTAGAGAAATTGACTTTCCTAAAACCGAAGAGGAATACACCAACGAAGATTGCAAGAAGATGGAGCTTAACGCTAAGGCAATTAACATGATTTATTGCAATGTTAACGCAGATGACTACCGCAAGATTTCACGGTGTGAAACCGCAAAACAAATGTGGGAAAAGTATGAGGTCATCTACGAAGGAACCGCGCAGGTTCGGGGACCAAAATTGATCGACCAACTCACCCACGAGTATGAGCTCTTCTCGATGAAGTAAAACGAGAAGATAGAGGATATGTTTGAGAGATTCTCTAACACCATCAATCCTCCAAACCTTCTCGGGAAAATATACACCGACCGAGAACTCGTGAGGAAGGTGTTGCAGAGCTTATCACCAAAATGGCGTTCAAAGGTGGACGCAATCGAAGAAGGTCGTGACTTCCAAACGACCACCTATGATTCTCTTCGAGGTAATCCGTTTGCACCGTTGCAATCGGAAAGTTAAACTCTATTCGACGATATAATTTTTATATTTATTTGTAATACTTTTTCTGTCATCATATTTTTGGGTGTTTGACTTTGACAGAGTCAAAATTGATTTAAATGACCTATACTCATAAAGGTTCTTACATTTCATTCATATTATTTATTCTCGTGATTTATTACAATAAATCATTTCAAAGTTCACATCACAAACAAATTCTTCATTTATAAGGTGCCTTTCATGAGAAAAAAATATATTCTACATGCTAAGTGAGGAAATAAATAGGGACAGAAGGAGCAATAAGGAAACATTGTTTTTAATAAGGTGCCTTTCATGAGAAAATATATATTCTACATGCTAAGTGAGGAAAAAAATCAATTAAATAATGAAAGACAACTATCAAGAAGTGTATGATCAGAATAAACTTATCAATGTATAATGAATATACTTTTAATAGTAATTAAATAAATTTAATTAAATGTTATGTGTGAAAAAATAACTTCAATTGTATAATGAAATAAATTATTGAAATACCATAGGTACTATTATTATGATATATAATTTCTCATAACAAAATTTGAACCTTGATAGAATCTTTGTGTGTATTCCTTATTAAATATTTAAGGAAATTATAGTCATTAAGAAAAACTTATGGAGTACTCAAACATAAAGTTTACCTTATTTAGACAATCCTTATATATACTATTGAGACTTATAAAGAAGTTATTTTGTTTACAGAACTTTTTTCTTTTAAGTAGGTGATACACATTCCTTATTTGATTAAAGAAATCTATTGTTGATTAAAATTTATCTACAATGAAAAAAATTTAAATAAATGAAATAATGAAAAAAATTATTAAATTAAATCACCCTAAATAGGAGTAAAACATAAATAAAGTAGCAAATAGGAGCTTCAAATTTTTAAATTAAATTATACTATGAAATACATGATTAATCACTAACTAATTTCACTATAAGAAAAATACATAAAATATTCAAGTAATATTAAAAGTAGAGATATTGCTCAATTCAGCCAATTTATTAAAATTCTTAAGTAATCTTAGTATTTTAGATCCAAAAAATGGTCGTGTGAAATATTAGAATGAAGAACACAATATACACTGTGGAGAACGAAGAAATATTATTGACTCTTGCATGTCACAATGACAATAATTGCGTGAATGTGAATTTTGACACATTGAACAAATTTATAAAAAAAGTTAGCATATTTAAATATTCATTTGTTTTTGCGAATTTATTTACAAAATTCTTATAAGGCCATGAAAGCATTCCCTGTTCTAATTTATAAATATTTATTTTAAAAAAATAATCCCGTCATTTCTTGTTTTATAGAATTTTAATTTCGAAATCAAAATATATATATATTTTTATTTTGCATCGATAAATATTTGAATTAATAAAAATTAAATTCATTGTATCATAAAATAAACAAATATGAATCTTTTAGAGGTTAAGAAAGTATCTTTAATTTTTTAAAGAAAGAAATCTCATTTATTCATACATTGATTGTAAATGAGGTGAAAAAAATATAAATTCAGAAAAAGACTCCATCTCAATTAGGCGCATTTGAAGATGGTTGACTCTATGTTATGTGATAGAAATAGTCCAAAAAGAAGATGAATTACACAGGTTTGAAAAAGGCTCATGATAAATGTGTGATAGTGAGATGATCTCATGGGCTGTAAAAAAAATTGCCAAATCACCATTCCATATGTCAAGATTCTGTAAGTTCAACTTTCAAATTTTATACTTCCCGTCCCACAATTGATTACAATATTGACTATTCTAAAATCATGGTAATTTTTGTTTATTCATGCATTTTTATTGATTATTTAATAAAATAAAATATTTTTGTATGATTTTGTAAAATTTTTGAAGTAATTTTTAAATATGTAAGTTCATTTTTTATTTATGTTTCCATTTTACAGAATACATTAAAAAATTTAAAATTTTTCTTTATTCTCTCATCTCCATAATTGGTGACAAAGAGTATATAAGAGCATTCACAATGGCAAGACAATATCTTGCCTTGCTAAGCCATGTCAGCAAATACCACTCAAATCATGGCATTCCATAGCCATTCCACCCCACTTTGAATTTCATGTGCAAGACATGACTCTCTCATTTTTATTTTTTTAAATATTTTTAATTTATGAAAAAAATATTTTTTAAAAGAAGTAGACATATTTTAATAATAAAATAGATGTGTAAAATAATTTTGGAAATTTACGTAACTAGCACTAAAACATAATGACTTTCGCTAAAAAGCATCACATGTGTTTTTTTCAATGTAGCATGTTAGCCTTGGTTTGCTAAGCCTCATGTTTTGATGTTAACAAACAATGTAAGAGCTAATGTTTGTTTAAGTGTTTCAGTACAACAAGAATCCATTAAGATTTGGTTCTCAAGAATGAAGTCGAAACACAAAACTAGCGTAGAATATAGGTAGAAACTATGTAAGGATATGACTTTATATATCTATATTCACAAGCTCAAAAGCACTCCCAAAATATGTTTAAAACCTTCTTATAATCATTTTCAAACATCCAAAAGGTTTTGAACAAAATTGGAAATGATTTGGACAAAAATATAAAAATCATCAAAACAGTCAAAAGGTACCCTATACCGTAAGGGGTACCGTGAGTCAATCTGAGAAGGTACCCCCTACCGTCAGCTCGAGACCCCCCGACCGTAAGGGGTACCGTGAGGGCGTTAGTCAATCTGAGAAGGTACCCCTACCGTAACCCACATAAAGGTACCGACCGTAAAAATGGAGATCAGCTCCTTTTGCACTATGGCGGTGCCCCCCCTACCGTGACCACACAACAGGTACCGACCGTTACGTCAGAGAAACAGCCTAAACACTATTGTAACGGTACCATATATCGTTTCAACAGTACCCCCTACCGTTACCGTTGGAGAAAAAAAATTCAAATTCTGGATTTCAAATCTAATCACATTTAATTAGTCAAAATCCTTCCAAATTTGTCTCCAACGGCTAAATAACTTTTTCCACTATAAATACAAGCTTAATCCTTCATATTTCAATAAGAAACAAAGCTCCAAACATCCTCTCTTTATATTATAAGTGTGTTCATTCTTTTATTCATTGTTTTCAATATTTTAGCTATTTTAAGAGTGTTAAATTCCTAATTTTTATACACACACTTTGAGCTTGTGTTTTAGATATATACTCTCATATTCATAAGTTTATATTATATTTTTAAGAGAGTATAATTTCATTCTACACCGGCTAAGCTTTGTTCTTCATTTTTATATTCAAGCCGTTGTATAGAACCCTTGTTTGTGTTCTTCTAACACATCTTTATACGGTCGAGAATGACCGTTAAATTTTCACGTTGTAATGGTCGAGGATAACCGTATAAATCCTTGGGTAGAAGGTCATAGCCTTGTAAATCCCTGGGGGGAACGGTCGAAGATAGTCGTGAAATCTTCATTGTAAACGGTTCAAGATAGCCGTTGCAAAATTTCGGAGTGAATCCTATTGGCAAGGGTTGTTTACCAAAACTAGTGCAGTGTTTTGACGGAGTTCAAGAGACTGGGACTTAGTGGATTCGGAAATACTTAAGGTGGAGCCTTAAGGTACTGGAGTAGGGGTTTTCCGAACCAGTATAAAATCGGTGTGTCTTTTAATTTACTTTACACTTTTATTTCTGCGTTTTATTTATTGTTTCCGCATTTGCCAACACCGTTTTTATCAAACTCCAAAATGTTTTTAAACGCCTTATTCACCTCCCCTCTAAGGCGTGGGCACAACGACTAACACTGGACATTATGAACATTATGAAGTGTTATTTAGAGAATAAAATAGTTTAATGGCTATTTATGGACATGACTTGAGTTTTAATACCTCTTCTGTCCATTTTTAATCTTCACACTTTCCTTTTATATTCGTCCACAAATAAAGTTTCTATTTCCTTTTTTGAAAACTTTATTATACTAAAAAGACTTAATTGCCCCTCTTCCACCCTTTTTCCTTTCTTTTTCTTTTTCCTCTCGCCAACCATTCCTCACCCACTTCTCTCTTTTTCTTTCTTTTTTCTCTCTTCTTCTTCTCTCATTTCTTTTCTTCCCTATTCTTTTCCTTCGTTCTTCTTCTTCTTTTATTCTTTTTTTTCTCCCTTCTGATTTTCCTTCAGATATGGTACCTGTTAGGCCCCCACTCCAAACAAATGGAAAGAAAAGGAAAAAAAAGAGCACACAATTTTAACGTGGTTCGGCACCTCAAGACCTACTCCACGACCCCCTCTGGGATAAAATCTCACTAGTAATTTTGCACGGAAAAATTACAAACCCTCTCCAATATTTGACACTCACAACCTAAAATCTAATACACAATTATATAGATTGAAGGATTGTGTTGTATGATGGAAGCCTATATCTCCTCTTTATTTATAGGCTCCAATCCCTCCTCAATTTTCCTATCCCACCGATGTGGGACTTTGAAGTAACACTCAACAAATCTCCCCTTAATTCAAAGTCCTACATCATTTGCGATTTCTACAGCGATACTCCCATCATGCAGAATCTTCTGTCCAGCAGTATCTTCATAAGTGATCACATTTGCGAAAGAAGCATCCTTCGATTTGCCCTTCTTCTCCTTTAGGATCTGCAAGTCCTCCTTGAGTTCTGGACAACCGTTCTTCGTGTGACCCAACTTTTCACAGTAATAGCACCTAACAGTGCTCATGTCTCTTAGATGAGATCTTCTCCCAAGTTGGTCACTCTTCTTCTTCCTCCCTTTCTCAACACTCACAGCAGCTAGTAAATGACTGTCCCCGGAAGACTCTTCACCTCCCATCATCCTTTGACTCTCCTTCAAGGCAGTCGTCACCTCATCTAGTCGCAGTGTAGTCCTTCCTGCTATCATTGACTGCACAAACGGCTTAAAGGATTTTGGTAGTGAAGCTAGTAGAAGCAGCCCTTGCTCTTCATCCTTGATAGTCTCCCCTGCATTTAACAGCCTTGATACTTGCTCATTAAACTTGTTGACGTGATCAATTACGCTACCTCCCTCTTCCATCTTCAGTGAGTACAAGTCCATCCTCATCATCAACCGGTTAGTAAGTGTCTTCGACGCAAACTTGCTCTCCAACGTTTCCCACAGCTTCTTTGGTGATGTCTCTTTCAGCACTGTCACTTTAATCTGTGGGGACAGTGCCAACCGAATTGTGCTGACAGCCTTCTTCTGGATTGTACTCCACTCTGATTCTTTCATATCACTTGGCTTCTCATCTTGCAATGCTAAANTGAATCGTGCATTGCCACAACATGAAGTCCGCTCTTCCATCAAATAACGGAACTTCAAACTTCAAGGTAGTCATAGTTCCACTCAAGCAGCAATCAACCAATACCAAACAATCCAAATTTGAGGAAACTGGCCTCAAAAATGGAATCAGGACGTCAAAATTAGTCAGAACCAACTTCTCTCCGAAAGTCACCAGCGGGACCCACACGATGACTGGACCTACTGATGTGGCGCTGACTGGATGATGACCTGGCACTCAGACCCACAGACTGCTGACGTGGCACTCACAGACCCACCTCTGCTCACTGGACCACCACCTCCTCCACTGAAGTGGCACGCCCTCCTCTTGCTCCTTGCTCCATCTCCTTCCTCCCTAGACTGCAACTCTGTAATTAATAATTCTTTTCTGATGTGGAAGATCAGTCAAAGCTGCAACCACAGAGCATACTAAGAATTATAATTACTAGATCACCCGGGCTCTGCACCTTGGCTCTGATACCACTTGTTAGGCCCCCACTCCAAACAAATGGAAAGAAAATGAAAAAAAAAGAGCACGCAATTTTTGACGTGATTCGGCACCTCAAGACCTACTCCACGACCCCCTCTGGGATAAAATCTCACTAGTAATTTTGCACGGAAAAATTACAAACCCTCTCCAATATTTGACACTCACAACCTAAAATCTAATACACAATTATATAGATTGAAGGATTGTGTTGTGTGATGGAAGCCTATATCTCCTCTTTATTTATAGGCTCCAATCCCTCCTCAATTTTCCTATCCCACCGATGTGGGACTTTGAAGTAACACACAACAGTACCCGATTCTTTCTTCTTCATTTTGTTCTTCTTTCATTCTTTTTTTTCTCCCTTCTGATTTTCCTTTGGATCTGGTACCCGATTTCTTCTTCTTCTTTCATTCTTTTTTTTCTCCCTTCTCATTTTCCTTCGGATCTGGTACCCGATTTTTTCTTCTTCATCTTCTTCTCCCTTCAGATTTGGTTTAGATCTAAGAAATCTAATTCAAATGTGTGAAGGATTTTAGGGATAAAGAAGGATCTTTTTCAAGTTTTCTTCATCTTCGTCTTCTTCCAACCTCCTTTGATTCTTCTACTCGTGGGAATAGGTTGCCGGAATTATGTCGTCGGAATTTCTCCCTGATTTTGGAATGATACAATTGGGCAGCACACTCCTGCTAGGTTGTCGACGAGATGCTGGGGCCTGGAGAGTGTTGGAATGGGCGATAGGATGTTGGGGTAGAAAATGGGGAGGGCATAATTGGAAAGTCAATGTAAAATTTAACATTCCTTAATCTTCGTGTCAAGTCAAAGTCCGAACATTAAAAATGGACGGAGGGAGTACTATTTAGTGCAAATATTTCAAATAATTTTTGATAAATAAAAATCATTAAAAAGTGCAAAAATAGACAAAAATAATGATTTACCACTTTATATTACGACACTCCACTAATTTGTCACACAGCGACTGAATTAGTTTTTATTGGTTAAATAGTGGGCCCTAAAGATGCACTGTTCCCGTCCAGCCTAAAATCGAGTTTTATTAGTTTTTACCCCAAAGTTTTGCACCAACACTTTGTGTTGGTGTAAAATTAATTTTTGTTAAACGCACCAACACTTGTATCCGTGTTAATTTTTATTAACGCACCAGCACTTGTGTCGGTGTAAACCATCGAAATGTTTGTGCAAACTTGTACAAATGGGGTATATTTTTTGGCCAAGTGTAGCATGGTAGTTTGATTAAACCTTAGGAGCAACGCTCTATAAATTCCGTCTAGAGCTTCGAAATCCTCTCCGCACAATGGACAGAAATCGCGACGCTGCGTTTACATTCAACTCTGTTAAGCTCCCTCTGCGACCATGTCCTCCACGGTCCAGCACCCCTAACCATCTACTCTCAAACATCAACCTTGCTCTCTGCAAACTTCCCAAGTTCCCATATCCATTTGCCCCAAACATCAATCCCCAAAGCGCACTCAATAAATTTCTGAAACTCACATTTCAAAAACCCCTCAAGAGCTTCAATTCCAACCCAAAATCTCCGCTTCTCTGCTGCTCGTCGCTGTCCTTGACATCGGAAACTGACGCCGTCTCGGTGGTGAATCAGAAGGTGCCGCCAAAGAATGCCGGGGAGGAGAGGGTTCTGGTAAGTGAGGTGTTGGTGAGGAACAAGGACGGTAAGGAGCTTGAGAGGAAGGATTTGGAGGCTGAAGCTCTCAATGCGCTCAAGGTTTGCCGACCAAACTCCGCCCTCACTGCCAGGGAGGTCGAGGAGGATGTGCATAGGGTATTTGGCAGTGGCTATTTCTGCTCTTGCATGCCCGTAGCTGTTGATACAAGAGACGGGATTCGGTTGATTTTTCAGGTACTTCTGGAAACAACTTACTGTACTATAGCTGTACTCTTCATGAAGTTGAACACCTCGTATGTAGTAGGGTAGATGTGGTGAATACTCGTTTATGGCTGTATGCACTTTGAAATGTGCATAATCGTTAAGGCGAAATTGAGTACTACAAAATCTGCAATACAACTGATATATTTTTAATGTGCTTTTAAGACATAATAGATAATTGAGTACTTCTTAGTGTGCTTTTTTTAAGACATTCACTTTGTATGCATATTCTTTCCTCTGCATTTGTAGTTTAAGACTCCCTCCAACGCAGAATATGTTTAGTGGTTTGACTTGCTTATTAAGAATAGTGAAAATGTGGCTGAGAATCCTGAGATTTATTTAGATGAAAGACCAATAAAAGGAACTTGCTTTGTGGGTTTTCTCTGCCAGTAACTTTTTTTTTCTCCCCCTCTGGTATATGTTTTTCTCTTCTGTTTTAGATGGACTACTAATCTCTTCTTTGAGCAGGGGCCTTTTAGTCTTTCTACCTTTTGAGTTGGGGTAAGGTCTGCGTACACCTACCCCGCTTGTGGGCTTTTACTGGGTCGTTGTTTTTTTTGTGTTGTATAAACAATAACCACTCAAATTTCTTCTCAAACAGAAAGATGAACCTTATTTTGGGATGGAGAAAAAAAACTTGAACCTTATTTTAGCTGGATGGAGTATTTGATACTTGTCTTGTGATGTTTGTTTGCCTATAAATTACTCACATGTGTAGTTTAATCTTTTGTTTATGATCAGTTTTCCCGATGACCGTTGTGTGATGCTATAGGAAAGTTCTAATCCTAAAACACACAAAAGAGTAGCCTAAAATGCTTCCTCAAAATTCTTGCTACTTCTTTTTAGTGAATTGCCTAATAGAGGGGGGAAGAAAATATTTGTTTACGTGTGGAGGCGGTGGTATTAATTCTTATATTAGTATCTGTTGTCATATTTCCACAAGGTAGAACCAAACCAGGAGTTTCGAGGCTTGGTTTGTGAAGGAGCCAATGTTCTTCCAACAAAGTTCGTAGAAAATGCCTTTCGCGATGGATATGGCAAGCCTTTCTTTCTTATATATTTCATGCATTTACATAGGGATGGCAACAGTTAGGGTACCATAGCTAGTCAGTATTTCCATCTCAAAGGCGTTAAAAGACCCCTTTTAGATCTCAAATTCCAAACCTTTCTGGCGATCCTGAGTCCCATATTGAGTCTGCTTGGCATTGCTTATTTATTAAAGAATAAGCAATGAGAAACAAGCATTAAATTGATGCTTCCCACAGTAAGTCAATCAGCTGAAATAATAAACCATGTAAATGGTGATTTGAGAAGCAACAATCAGTTCCCAATCAAAATTTCAAACATAGCAATTACATATAACCTGTTGCCATCCTCACATTCACTCATCTACTTGTGATTAGTTATGTTAAGAAATCTTGAATATTATCTTATTAGCTATTTTAGTTTCATGCTTATGTCAGGCCATTTACATTGTTGTCAAGTGGTACAGGGAAAATTGTGAACATTAGACATGTAGATGAAGTGATTAACTCAATTAATGGCTGGTACATGGATCGGGGCCTCATTGGCATGGTTAGTTCTTGACCTCCTGTTACACCCATGATCCTGAATGGGATCCATGTAGACTTACTTTGTCCTTAATTATTTCCCCCCTGTTTTTTCTTCTTTTCTTTAGGTGTCTGGTATTGATCTTCTTTCAGGAGGTATATAATTCAATGTTCAAAGTCTTCGACTCTAGTTATTGTGTTCGTATGCAAAGGATGATAGGACGTAAGGATCTGATAGTGTCTAGATTTAAGTGAAGAATGCTACCTTTGGTTATTTCTTGTATACTATGCATTTTTTAAACCAGGGGCGAGCCAGCAGTTGGAAAAACAAAACCTGAAACTATACTTCGGCAACTTACAACCAAGAAAGGGCAGGTACATGTTTTTCCGGGCCTTCTGCCATTTATTTTCACTATATTAAATATTAATTATGTTATGTTAAATGGCTCATTACCATTTAGGTGTATAGTGCACTTCAGGGGAAAAGAGATGTAGAGACTGTGCTGGCAATGGGAACTATGGAAGATGTTAGCATCATTCCCCAACCTGTTGGAGGTAGTCTGTTTATAGCATTGGATCATGAACATTGAAATTGTCGTTAACTTTCAGATTAACATTTTTATATGTAGCAGACACTAAAAAGGTTGATTTGACTATGAATCTTGTTGAGCGTAAAAGTGCTAAAGGCATAACTGCTGGTGGCGGAATTTCAAGTGGGTATGTGATGTATTTGACTGAATACTCTTCTATTAATGAATACACTTTGTTTAGATCTATTAACATATTCATCTTTCAACTGTATAGGATAACGAATGGGCCTCTTGCTGGATTAATTGGAAGGTAATTGCTGTCAAGTTATTTTGCCATTGTGCTACATTACTGTTTACTCTATTTTTAATTCGTAGCAAGTTTTTCATTGATAATGTGACTCGTGAATGGTTCATAACATCCAAGGATTGAATGCTCAAAGGTTACACTGTATTTCCATTTATGTACTGTTAGCATGACATTCCTTTAGCTTCAATATACATTATGAGCAATTAATGCATGCATTTCTGTGTTTACTGTCCATGAAGCTTTGCTCCACATTTTGTGTCTGCTGAGCATTTCTTATAGCTAGCTTGGCCCAGATAAATACATCCTGAAAACTTTTTGAAAAAGAATCTTCTTAGAAGATAGACATTTTTCTTGCGAGCATATTGGAAAAAGAATGATCATTTCTCCAATTTTAGGTTTGAGGATATTTTGATGATAATCTGTATTGAGAATAGTCTAGATGCGTTGCATAATATTAACAAAGTGAAACCAAAATTTAGAATTAGCCAATTAGGCCTTCATTTCTTCATTCTATGTGCTATTTAGGTGTTTCTCTATTTTGGTCCATGATTTGTGTCCACATATTTGAGTCTGGGTGTAATTCTGTCTATTAATTGTTTTTATTGATTTAATGCTATCATGCATATATTCCTTCACATGCTTATCTTTCTGGTTTCCACTGTACTTCCAGAGTCCTGGATACAGTTACTAATGTGTATACTGGGAAACCCTTAAGATTGGGAAAAAATCTAAATAAGAAAACAGTAAAATGAAACCTTGCAGACAGTGAAAATTCCAGGAAACAAAAAAGGAGCCAAGTTATCGGTTATCCTCTCTGGTACCAGACTTGTTAGTTAAAGTTAAACTGGTTTTTGAACATTCTTTATATTTTTTATGCTTCTTGGGATCCATGCTTGCAATCATCTAGGCAGCATTTTCTAATGTAATTTTTTCATTCAGATGTTGGATTCCTATCTCTTTCCTTGTATGCACTTGCATGCTTGCACTACCAGTATTTAGTTCTATTGTTCAAGTGTTCAACCAGTTTTACTAGCACGGCAATGTTCATGACATTTTTTGAATGCAGTCTTGCCATTTACCATAAAAATCTCTTTGGGAGAAACCAAAAGCTTAATTTATCATTAGAAAGGGGGCAGATTGATTCGATATATAGGATAAATTACACAGACCCATGGATTGAAGGGGATGATAAAAGGACATCAAGATCAATTATGGTTCAGGTACTAAATGACCGAATGCTATATTTGTCATTCAAATCATTTCAAATTATTTTGAAATTTTATGTTGTGCCTAGAACTCAAGAGCACCTGGCACACTTGTTCACGGGAACCAACCAGATCATAGTAGTCTTACAATAGGCCGTGTAACAGCTGGGATAGAATACAGCCGTCCATTCCGGCCAAAGTGGAATGGAACTTGTGGCCTTTTTTTCCAGGTACTCTATAGATGTATTATACTCCACCCGCCCCTCTGACCCTTGTTTATTGTCACACTTTTTCCATCCATCCCAAGATTATATCATTTTTTAGGAAATGGTTGTGGTTGATATTGTTTCTCTCTTTTAAAAACAACAATCAAAGAATTTATACTTAAATTTGTCTGCCAAGTCTATTGTGGAGGATCATATAGCAATGGGGAATATACCTAAATAGCACTAAAACATAGTGACTTTCCCAATGTTCTACCATATGTTTTTATTTCCCAATGTAGTATAACTGTTCAATGTCCACTTGTCATTGTTCAAGTAAATGTCCACCGCCGTTGGACATTGTTCAAACTAAATGTCCAACATTACAGGACAATGTTCCTACCACTAGACATTATTCAAGTACTATTTAAGGAATAAAAAGTTTAAGTACTACATTTGGAGAGGTATATTTTTATTCACTTCGCTTTGGCGAATCTGAGTCTAAAGATGTGATTCTTGTCATTAATATGATATTTAAATGTAGTATACATGAAAGTCGCTAAGAGCTTTTTTTGTTTAAGCATACTTTTCACGGTGCCATGACAAGGTGTGAGTGTGTGACACTAGTGGACCGCAAAGACGCCTAGTCAACTAGGCATTTGCCTAGGCGATAATTTGGCTACTATTAATAATTAAATTCACTATAAAATAAGTTTTATGGAGCAATTCATAATTTATAAAGCTCAAATCACCATGGTTTAATACTTTAATATCCATTTTCGAGTAAATAAAATACACTCTCTCAAATATAAAGAAAGCTTGGATCATATAGGCTCTTATTTTCTTCATCATGATCATTGTCATGAGTGGGAGTAGGTGCCTTTTGGGTTTTGTCCAAAGTCGTCCTCAACATTTTCATCATCATCTATAAATTTCTCTTCTTCCACATCTTGTAATTCTTCATAAATCAACCTTAATCGTGAAGACGTGAAGTAGACTTTCTTTGGCATTGATATGTCATAGCGTGTGGACTTCTAAAAGTTATAGCTTTGTTATTACGTGTTCTCCTTTAAATATTACGTTCTTCAAGATTGTTAGAAGCACCCAAAGCTTCATCAACTTGTGTCCACGAAAGATCACATCCGGGACGGACATCATTCATTATTCCCATGGAAATCTTTAAATATCAAAGGGTTAAAGTCTCTTCTTTGTTCACTCTGCTTTTGAAACCTTGTTGCAGTCTTCTCGTTGTATTGAATGTAATCCAACCCATATAACCTCTTATGCTCCAACCGGTTCTCTTTTTTTGTGTGGATGCAAAAACTAATGGTAATAAATTAGTACTAAAATTAGTAGCTCAGAACGTTTGTAGGCATGTTATTTGGTAGTAATGTAGTACTTACAAACTTGAAGGCACTCTAGTTATGCTCTCAACCAAAGAACAACAAAGACCGTGCTAAGCAAATGATTAGTGCACCCACCAAATGCATCCCACCAATCATATTCGAAGTTAACTCAAATTGAAACTGTTAGTTGTACTAACCTGGACTCTTTGTTTTCTATCAAGTGGTCATCAATTAATTTACAAAGCTTCCACGCATTTTATCATATCCAGCACCTGAACTAGGCAATGCAATAATAACAATGGGGTTTTGTCACTTCAGTCATTAATAGATTGTCACTTTTTCTTTTTACTCCCTCCGCCCTTCTTTTTGTTCATTATTCAAGGGTCAAACTATATCTTTCTTCCTTGCGTATTCCCATTGATAAAATAATTTATTCATGTCACCTCTTTTTTTTTGTAGAACTCTTGATGTAGTTCTTAAGTAAATAATTTTATTTTTAATTTTACACCAATTCTCAATTAAATTGAATTAAAAATAATTTCAACCAAACATTTTAAACCACAACTTCTTTTAGGGGCAGAGGGAGTATTCAACTTTCTTTTTGTCGCAATTTGTGAAAATTATTCCAGTGTTCCTAGTAGTGATGTGTTAATCATCTTCCTGTCAGGTTTAGTTGTTAGTGCTGTGTGAATATAATTGCGGGTACTAGTCACACCATTTACTAAATACACCTAGTGCATTTAAAACTATGATAATCACACCCCAGTTTTTGACATTGGATACCTTTTTTTAATGTGCAAATTCTTCAAATTGAGTAATTGAAATCCATGTAAATTCTACATAAAGAATGCACAATTGAAAAAAATTGTGTTAAATATTTGCTTTGGGATTAATGAATTCCATGAAATTCTGAGTCTTGACTCGTCCTTTTATTATGAATGAATGTGCAAAGCTCTTGTAAGTTGAGACTCATTAGAGGATCAGAGCGTGCTTATTTGAAGTTTGATGGGCTTTTTCATGGGGTTGGTTTTTCCGCAGTGGGCACATGATATGGGTGGGGGGGGGGGGG